CCAGTTTAAGGTCATGACCTTTAGACAGAGAAGGTCAAAGCAACTGTACAACCTTTCATACAACCTCCTTCCTTCAAAAAGCCAGATGTAAAGCTTTGTTAAAGAGCAGTTGAGTCCCCCTGCAAGACCACCACAGTAAACCACGAGATGCCTTTTAGGACCTGAATACTTCAAACTGAGCAAAGCGAGCCCAAAACCCAATCAATTAACTAATGTTAATTAGCCCCATAATAAAAGGAGAAGCAAGGTAGTACTACACTCTTATCAACTTGTATCATAGGTATCATAACAGTAATTTTTCATGGGAGTGACCCATATCTTCTGCAGAGGAAAAAAACAGTGGTATCTTTAGTAGTAAGATTTATTAGCAACTGGATTAAGCTACATCTCAGTAATAATTCTAAATCATATTTTTGCAAAGAAAGCCTGTTAGGAATTTTACAGCCCGTACCAAAACTGATAGAAACAAAAGAAAGCTGAGCAAAGGGCCATGCTGAACACTTGTTATTACGATATTATAGGTTCATTGACAATCACAAGATACACTACCAGTGTTTCTGCTCTCTCATTACTGCTTTTTTCAATATCACCGAAGAACTGTAAGAGGCATTCTGCTCACTATGCTAAGAGTTCCAGGAAAACAGCCGTACACAAACACTGGTCTGCTGGGTACTGCTGCACTATTTCGTGACAGAACACAAAAAACACAAAAGGAATCTTGTGCCAGAGCTTGCTTTTTTAAACCGTAAAAAGTAATCTACACAGCACTGGACCAAAGCTCTACGTACCTTCTGAGCAACCTTTGGGCTAGTGTCCCCAGACTGAAGAGGGTTTTTCAGTTCTGAACTTCTCCCAACAATACTGGGACATTTTTCCAAACTCAGAGATTCCTTCTCCTGAAAACTATCCTCCCGAACTCTGTTACACTGCTGGTCCGAATCACTGCAGAATTCTCTCAGTCTGTCTAGAGTTTGCAAACATATACGGGGCTTTTCACACTTCTGAGGTTCTTCTTCAGTAAAAATATACAACAAAAACATATTAGCAACTTATTTTCTAAAACAGAATGTCTATTAGAATGACATCAGTAAGTAGAGAATGCAATCATTTTGCTCTGTCTCTCTCTTCCCTACATTCCTTCTCCTCTCCCATTGCAGTATTTCTGCCAGCCTGACAGAATCGTGCATGTAATCAGCCTGGTTAACCTCCCTGGAAAATCAATACTCCTCACTTGTATGCTTCTTCATACATGGGAAAAGAAGCACAATTATTTTCTGGACTGATTAACTGCAAAGCCACAAAATTAGCCAAGAATATTGGAAAACAAATGGTATTTTTTCAGTACAGTTTTTAAGCAGACACTATTGCTAGTTGATGGTGTCTTATTGACACTTCAAACCATCACACCCACAAAACTGAATATAATTCCCTCTTTAAAAAAATTATACAGGCAAATTCTTTTCAGTGAAGTGTAAGTGTAATGAACTTTATATTCACTGATTTGTTTTTCTGCTAGCATCGTTAATTTTGTTCAAATAACGTTCAAAGCCAGGTGGAGCACAGGCATTTTCAGTGTAATTAAGTGGCTGTCATTTCACAGTTAAGAGCACTGCATTAGAACTATTTACTTTGAGGTAACCTTTAGGTATGCCAGTCACAGGCCAGACTCCACAGAGCTGTCAGGTGTCAGTCATGCTTCAGCCTCAGTCTAAAAGACAGACTGTTAAACTAACACAGAAAGGGAAATTGCAGCATTTCTGCCTGGGCATCTGGACTTCGTTGACTGAACAAGTTAAAGCTGAGTCAGCTGACGGGGATTTGCAGAGTAATTCTGCAGCGAGGCTCAAATACCTAGCTCCTGAGCCACAGAAATGTGCTTTAACAGTATAGCTAGTATGCTCATAATGGCTCTTCAGAGATGCATCTTACACTCAAGAGACACTTCCTAAAGTATCCGCTGACAATCTTTTTTACATTTGACAATGAAAAACTGTTTATTGGGTATAAATGCTTGAAGGTTTCTTTACAATCAACTCACTTTTATCCTGAGTCTTCAGTGGCTTACAGATGTCTTCTAGAGTAATTTGTCGTGCCTTGGTCTTCTTTTCACGGGGTTCATTGCTTTCAGTTGATATTCTCCTTTTTGTGCCAAATTCAGAAGCCTGAAACATAAATTAAACAGAGAAGTTCAGCTACTTTTTCTCTTTGCCATCCTCTATGAAAGACACCAACGCACCCAAGGATTTCCTAAAGAGATAATGCAAAATTAATTTACAGTATGTGAAATAGCTAATTAACTACCTACTTTTTTGTTTATAAAATATTTCTTCTAACATTCAAGCCTACAAGAGGAAGAGAAATAGTGCATTCTGTGAACAAGTTGGCTGTTGTGCTAGAAAAGAAACACCTGCAGCTACCACAGCTTCAAAAGGCAGCTTAGAGATATTCTGTGGCAGAGAACTGAACCAGTACTTAACAGACTTTCCCATCATACCACACACTACCACCCTGTGTCTGAATCAGATCTCTTCTGTAAATGCTCATTCCCAAAGTTCAGAGCCCTCTTCTTGCCAGATACTGGCTATTCACCTCTGAGAGGCACTACTTCCTATGGCCTACATCCCAGTGACAGAAGAGTATCTTCTTCACACCACCCTGGAAGTGTTAATCCGACTTAAAAGATTTTCCTAAACCATCTGTAAACACCTAGCTAGCATCATCCTGGGTTTGCATAGAATACAGTACTTTCAACTACTGCTCCTTAGATGGCTTTTGATACATGCACTTTTAACACTTCGTAAACAGAAAATTCATCAATTTTTGTTGTTTCATCATTGATGCATTGTTTGACAGAACGCAAGAAGTATGAGCAAATATAAAGAAGTAACTTGCAACTGCAAGAAGTATGAGCAAATATAAAGAAGTAACTTGCAACTGCAACAACATATAAACACGTTATCATTTCACTTTGCAGATAAAAACACAACAGGTGCTTTTAGCAGCTTGCATCCACATTTCATATGGTAATCTCAGATGGTTTAAGTGCATTACTGGGGAAACTCAATCTCCTTACAAGTAAGCAGGAACTCCACCCTCAGCAACTAAGCCCATAACTGCTACATAACATATCCATATGCACAGCCCAGATGAGTGGCAAAGAGCTTCCCTTCCAAGTCCACTGTTATATACCACCAGATTAACACTAATTAGGAGACAGTTTTTCTGCATGGATAGAAAGTGATAATCACACCTTTCACAATATATTTGGACCAAAGATAACAGAGAAGTTTGACTTGAGACACAGATGAAAAAACATACACCTTTCCAGGGCCAAAAAGCGCTAGAAACATTACAGGGAGACTGGAAAATATAAACTCAGAATGAAATCCAATTGCTGAGAGACAGCAATTTTTTCCCAGCGGCAACACAGAGAGGCTGCTGGATCACTGCAGGCTCTCTTGGCCTTGCACCGAACAACAGGCCAAGAGCCACCCGAGCTCCATGATCTGGGCCACGAGCTCAACCCACTGCATGCCAGGAGGCAGAACCTGTGCCGAATGTCCAATGCTACCGCAAGGGAGCAAAGCCCCTGGGACACAAACCATTGTACATTGGCTTTGCCAAGCTCATCGTACCCATGTCAAGCTTCAGTTCCTACAAAATGGGCATATCCTGGCTGCTTCCTGAAAGACTAGGTATTGCAACCCTGTGTTACACAAGGCAAAGATGCTACAGCAAGTGTCGCTAACTGGAAGGCCCTGCCTGCTGGCAGGGCCGCCGTAGGGCACCCCTTCGTGCAGCAGGGCCATGGCCACCTCTGGCCATCATTTCTGAGGTGACTTTCTGACACGGGGTAACCAGGCATGCCCGAGGTCCCTCAGTCACCACCAAGAGCCTTCCCACAGGGCCTCTGCGGCCCGGCCCGCGCCCTTCAGGCG